GTTTTCTTAAATAAATACTAGTATGTAATTCAAAAGAGTATAAATATCTGAAAATAATAAAACCTATTTCGAAGTCAATATATGCAGTTTTTTTCTCCCTAGAACATAATTTTTAATTTTAATGCTACTACAGCTATTCTGAAATGCAGGGAAAATGTTTTCAATGATGAATTTAAAAACAACTTTGGGATAATACCTTTATTATTATTAGGCACAAACATATACCACGTTTCCCCGAAAGTAAGACCTACTCCAAAAATAAGCCCTAGTTTTGGGGCAAGGCGCATGCCTAAAAATCAAGCTAGAGTGGGGCGGGGGTGGAGCTGCCCCACACGCCCCCTCACCCACGTACCAGGCCTCCCATGAATTGACACCTGCCTCTCCTCACTGGCCCACTTCTTCTGCAGCACCACCGCCCCCGGCCTGCATTTTGCCATCAGGCCTTTTTGGAAGGCCTCTGCAGCCGAGAACCGAGCTATGGATTTGATCCATAGCTCGGTTCTTGCCTGCAGAGAACTTTGATGGCAAAATGTAGGCTGGAGCTCCATTCTCAGCTGAAGAATGAAGCGCCTCCTTCAGCCGCAGAAGGGCTAACTGGGTGGAGCTGTCAGTGCTGCCGCCGTGAGGTGAGTAGAAAAGACATCCCCCCAAAATAAGACTTGGTGCCTCTTTTGGAGGCAAAAATAAAATAAGATCGGGTCTTATTTTCAGAGGATATTCTTCCACCATCAGGGCTGTTGCACATGGAATGGGAAGATGCAACCTTATTTGTCCTCTTAGCAGAATAACTTGATCATACCCTGAATAAAATAACATAATGTAACATCCATCCATCCATGATCTGTCTGTCTGTCTGTCTGTCTATCTATGATCTCCCACTGATGAGCATGCATTCCAACAACTCAACAAAACTTTAATTTTAATATGTAACTCCTGATTGTTGAGATTTTTTAGAATTCAACATCACAGATGTTTGTCACTTATGTACTTTCCTATCCTAGCAACACAAGGAAGGGGGAATATTGGATTTTGGACTATCACAATGACAAAATCTGTGGTGGTTTACTAGAAGCCCCATGCCATGTGATCCGCAAAACTGCTTAATTTTCAACAGACTCCTAAGCTACATTGGTCAATGGACCTAGCCCAGCCATTTGTCTTTATTAATCCTTTGACCTTTTTTCTCTTCAGT